TATATATATATTATAATAAAAATAGTTTAGAGTTTATTTAAATTGATTTTTAAACATGTGAATAAAGCCATAAGATTGTGATAGGAATGACTCCTAATTTTATATCAAACACAAAGTTTTTATCTTAAGTATATTTTTGCTTTCTTTTTTTGAGATTAATGTTTCCTTTCTCGTTAAACTTTGATATGATCCACTCTATTGAAGAAATTATTACGCGCAGCGACCACACGTTCAGCAACAAATTGGATTGATTGTTGTGCGATACACGGGAGCATGACCGGCCGCATTTGGGCCATGAATACTAAAATCTTTTTGAGAACATTCAATTTATACATCAAGTTTACAATCATCATATCAACTCCTGAAGCATTGCCAAGTAAGTAAGCAATAACTACACATTACATACAAATATTGAACCATAAGTCAATTTTTGGCTATAAATCATGTAATACTACTAATTATCTTGGTGATACACTTTTAAGAATATTCTCACTCAATTTTACAAAAAATGATGCAATATTTTCACTAATTATTTTTGTTTCATGAAAACATAAATCACATATTTCATACTCAAAAGAACATTTTTCCTTGGGAATTAAGCTTTGCCATTCAATTCAACCTTTTTTTCCTTAATTTCATTTTGAAGACCAACTACTCGGATGTATATGACTTTCAGCTAATTTAATTCATAAAGATTATAAAAATTGTCAATATTTTAGCATTAAAATATAACATACTTAAGAATTTAAAAAATTAAAAAAATAAAAATAAACAAGGAGAATAATTAACTTTAAATATTAGTTAAAAAAAATACATAAATTAGTTTATTTGAAACAATCTTAGGAACATCTAACTCTACAACAAATTTATAGTTTGATGTTCAAAGTTCTCGTCAAAATAATAATAATAATAATAATAATAATAATAATAATAATAATAATAATAATAATAGAATTAACTGCAAACTATACTCTCTTGAAAATATTCAAAAGCTCTCATGATTCTAAGATTAAGAGAGATTAAAGGATTGCTCGGTGCAGCTACACTGAAATAGCAGCCGTAAAAAATTGTTATTCAAAAAGCTGCAGCATCTAACCCAATTTTATATTACTTTTAAAAGTTCAGATCTCATTTTCTTGACAACCTCCACGCTCAGATAAATTATGTTACGCACACACGCACACAGACGCACACACATACGCCTGCGCCCGGGCGCGTGCGTACACACACAAATAATATTAATTGAAATAAAAAAAAAACCCTATCCGAACGTACACAAGGCTGTCAATTCCATTCCCCCTTTATTTCGCATTAGACAATAAAAGAAGAGCTGTCAAATATGGCAAAAACCTACAGACGTATAAATAGATAGAAGCAATAGAAGGACAGTACATCACCAACAGTACCCTCTCACAGCACCAATCCCCTAAAACACCATATAATATACATAAAAGGCAAAAAATAAAACTTACTAAGTAGGATCAATTACCAGACACACACCCTGGTTGTTGTTTGCTCCCATTCTTCTTCTTCTTATCATAACAAACCCCTCGCGCCTTCGACTGAATCTCTCGCACCTGGCGAAGATACAGTCGAACGGCTCGTGCGGCGAAAGGATTGGTTTCAGGGGCGGCGCCGCCGTGCTCGTCATAAGCGGCGCGGAGGCGGCCAATGAGCGCGTCGAGGCTTCCCCAGGCTTGTTTGAGAGGACAGGGACAGGGGCCGGGGGGGTTGGGTTGACCGAAAAATGGACACGTGATGGAGTGGATTTTGGTTTTGCCGAATTGGTCGAGGTAGCGGAGGAATTCGAGGACATGAGCGCCGCTGCAGCGAGTGAGGGTGAGGGGCGGGCGGTGGTTGCGGAGGTATTGGCCGAAGGTGTTCCAGTCCCGGAGTTTCTGGGATTCGTAGCGGCTTAAGGGAGGGAGGTGGGGGGTGGCGGAGGAGGAGGAGGAGGAGGAGGTATTCATGTTAAATTTGTGGGTTTTGGATGGGAGAGAGTGAGGGGTTTAAAGATGGGGGGAGGGGTGGGGGAAAGGAGGGGAGAGTAATAGTGATAGAAATAGTAATGTTGATTTGATATATGAAGAAATTATTTTGAATAATTAAGGTTTTAGATTTCACTGCACAACGTATTCAGTTCAGCTGGTCGGTCATCTGCTTGTCAGTTATAAGTCTCCTTTAATCTGAGGTTCAGAATGTGGTACTACAATTGTTAGGCGCATTGGGATGATCGGAGCTCGTGTAATAGCCTCAGGCCATTACTTTTAAGTAAAAAAAGATTTTTAGAGTTCAAAAATTAATGAGATATGTGTGTTATATTTAAATAGGATGAAAATGTTTGTTTTAAGATATAGGATAAAATAATAAAGTGTTAAGAATTTTGAAAAAAGTAAATTTAAATTTGTTTTGATTAATAAGATAAAAATGAGGTTTTAGTAATCTATTTTTAAGTAATTAAGCATCAATCTAAGTATATAATTATTTTTTTTATATTTAAATTTAAAAAAATTATGTGATTTTGAGTTTTAAACATATTTAATAATAATTGAAGTATTTATTATATAATGTATGATATAATAACAAAATATTGAAAAAATATATAATAATCAATAAATATTTTATCTCTAATTATAATATGTTTTCTCAACACAACAAAATATTTTGGTGAAGCCTAGCAATCTAGCATAACTCAACAGTATGCAAACTCCAGTTTATACTGCAATGAACATAAAAAAAAATCAAAAATTTAATAATAATAATAATATAAGAGAAATATATATATATATATATATATATATATATATATATATAT